GTTTGGAGACACAAGCTGATAGGATAGTAAATCAGGATGCGGCTCAGTCTGTAATGAGTTTCAGGGGCAGGGTTGCAAACCACATACTCTGGTCTACAGAGCCCCTAAACCTGACCTTTCACGTGCAGGTCTGCCCTCATGATGTGCCAACTTCCTTCTCACCTTTAATGTTCCATCACTTTGGCTTTCTTTCCAACCACAGACTGCTAAGTTCCCTGCACCCCAGGGCCTTGATCATTCACATTTATCCTTAAATGTCCTCTCCTTACAAAGGCTTTCTCAGGATACGCTCTACCACGTGATTCCATTTTAATTATTTTCATAACCTTGAGGAGTTTCCTCCTCATTATCTATCCTTACTAGTACAAGCTCAATGAAAGGAAGGTCTCTGTTTGTCTTGTTCCTTATTGTACCCAATAATACCAGGCACTTTTATAGGTTCCTATCATATTCTGGGAGCTTATTAAACATTTAAATGAATGATTGAATGAAAAATGAACTCATTAATAAACTGTTAACAAATGAATTACTCTAGCTGGCTTAGGAGACTGACAACATGGAAGTTTCTGTAACTAAAAATATTTGAAGCCAAATCCTTGATGAAATAACAGGAGCTAGGAAGAAAAGGAGCTGTCACCAGATGCAAAAGTCTTTTTTTTTTTTTTTAGGAGAAAACCACTTTTAATTGAAAAACAAAGCAATACATCTCAAATAAGACTCTGTTTAACAACATAAACTGTAACTTCCTGAGGGAAATAGCTTTCCTAGCAGTGGTATTGTGAAATTTAGGTATCAGCAATCAATAGTTTCCCTCCTTTATTCTGACTCAGCTATAAGCATATTAAAAATAAGGACTTTCTCATGAATTTAAACTGTAAATCTGTAAAGCCTGTCCCTATTCCTAATCCACTGACAAAAGGTGAGATTTTAAACAAACATTTCCATACTGAGGAGTTCCCAGGTAATAGCAAATAGTCAATATTTTCCTTATGAAAAGTTTATAGGAAAGACACACAAGACTATTATTGATATTTAATTAATCCACAAACTTCAAAACACAATTTCATCAAGATGATCTCTACTACAATTTTCCTTTAAAGAAGTTCTCAAATCTCAGAATGGTTTAAAACTTGATATACTGGAAGTATTAACTCTGAAAGAAAGTAGTAAAGTTATTGCTTTAAACTGGAAAAATCTATGCTCAAAAATTTTAAAAAGAGTTCATTAAACAGCTATTCTTACAATTACACTCATGTAACTGCAGAGAAAATGTTCAAGCACATAGTAAGTAAACACTCTTTTGAATGACAGAACAAAGGCATATGTTCATCAAGATGTATGGCTTTTTTGGTGCTTGTTATTACTACCATAGTCATTTTGTTTGACTGAAAAAAGTTTTTACAAAATTCCACTTGCAAAATTAACATTTTTATTAAATCAAGTTAAAAAAAATGTTCACTGTAGAAAAGTCAACAAGGGTTTTAACAAAACCAAAATATACCCTTTCATACAATATATGTATATATTAGCAGCAAACTACTTCTGAGATTTTCTTTTATGTTTAGTTAAAGAAGGCATAAACAATGCATATTAGTATGGAATGTCAGCTAATACACTCTTCCTCTTTTATTCTGATTTAGCTTCTAGTACAAATTATTTTATGATTCTTATTAATAAATATGAAGAACAAACCCAGTTTTGACTAAGAAGTAGTGAAACAGTGGTTGGTAGCATCCATCTCATTACTTCATAGTCATGCATTATCTTTGAGAATAACAAATGAGCACCATATAAACAAGGTAATTATGTGTGTGTGTAAATTCAACTCTTAAGGTGTGCTAGTAGCCAACTAGACCACTTAGCATTTGGCTGTTACTTTTTAAAAATTTGGTGATATATAAAATGTTAATCAAATCAGATACTCAATCCCATATTGCTTGTCCATTTTTAAAATCTTAATAGAAATTCTGTATAACCATGACAAATTGTATGCAAACGTGTGCATATACACATACAAAAGTGTATGCATGTATATACATATACACCTTTAGCTTTCAATGAATTTCTAAACTGAGATGAAGCCAAACCTCTCATCTAAATATACATGTAGAATATGGTATCACCAACTGGAAGTTTCTAATAAAAGTTTTATCTTAGCTAAGGAGAAATACTGGCTATTGAAAATTTTGAGGCCAAAGAGCTGTAATTCAGCTTAATATACTCTGGGCTTACAAATTAGTCAGCCAAACAAACAGGATTTGAAATTACCAACCGCCCACCTAAGAAATAATTTTTTCTCTTAGTATTTCCTTCTAAGACAAAAAGGAAATATCTTTACAATGAACTTTCACTTTTTAAAGAGTTATAATTATTAAAGAAATCTCACCAGTCTTCAAAAATACTAAACATTATATAAATACAATTTTCTTATAGTTGAATTTCTTTAGCTAGAATCTGTATTAAAAAAAGTTTCCTTTGGATTGTTTCATTTAGCACTTCAAGTCTCCATTCTGCAACTCTGGTAACTGGCTCAGATTTGGTAGGTTTCTATCAATCACATCTTTCAGAATGTGCTACTGTGTGTTACCTGTGTACAAGAAGGTCAATGGGAGGAACTGCAACAAATTCCAAAAGCAACATAAGGAAAAATTCAAGCCTGTGTAATATAAAAAAAGATAAGTACAACATGGAATCCCTTTTGTTCATTACATTAATGAATATAATCCTTTCAATATTTTTAAAGATAATGTCCCAACTTTCATTTTTTAACTTATCAAGAAGACCAAGTTTTTAGATGGCCCACCTTTATTTTTTAATTAAAAAACTAAATCAATAGACTGAATTACTTTTATTAATATACACATCAAGTTACTGAAACGGTGACTTCATGTAGTTTTCCCCTTAAAGATGGCGCTTGCAGGTACAAAGATGCAGAGATTTCTATAGCCTTCAGATGTTTACTTGAAAAGATTCTTCAACAGCAGTTTGATACTGGGTTTCCTCATGTAGCTGAAGATTCACAGGAACTATCTGAAACAGGTGATTACTGTTACAGTGATCCAGTAAACGCTGTCTGGTAAAATTTGATTCTTGACACAAGGGACACTTAAAGGTAGGATGCCCAGAAGAACTTGTATTCTCCTGATAAGTTTCTGTGTTATCAGATGTAGATGTTTCACTCCTATTACTGTTCCCTACTGAATCTTGAGAGATCTGAAAGTTTGGAATGATAAAGGAAACACCATATTCATCTTGATACTTCTTACACGATTTGTAATGATGTCTCATGCGATAGAATTTAATCTGTTTTGCACAGCGTCTGCAGCTACCAGAAAACTTCCTCATGATATTTTCAAGGTCTAAGGCCCGTTCAGGACACGCTCTCTCTCTTCTAGTCACATTTCCACGACAGAGGGGACAATGTATTCCGCTTTCTCTCATTGCAGTCAGGAAACATTTTCTACAGAAAACGTGCTGACAGGCCGCGGTCCTCACGGGCGTTTTGAGCACCTCCTGACAGACAGGGCAGTAGAAATCATCTTCGGTGTAGGACATGGCCGCGGAGAGCTCCTCGGCCATGGTGGGGGATGGGGGAATCAAGGAGATGGCAGCAGCGGCGGCGGCGACAGCGGCCAAGCTGGCGGTGGCAGCCCGGGGCCCGACTCTCTACGCGAACCCCCAGATGCAAAAGTCTTAACAAATGAAGGGAATGAACAGAGATGGCAGGAGTGGGGGGGGGAGGTTGTGCTGAATAGCTTGAGCCTCAGTGGAGAATAAACTACTAGAAGATAACGGAAAAGCCTGGGTTTAGACATTGTAATGGGAGAATGCCAGCCTACCCTCCCTCTTGTTTTGAGAAAGGTGTTACTCAAGAAGACAGAAGGGCACATTTTAGTTACGTTACAGGTAAGGGAGATTTGGATAAAGCCATCTGCGTAAAGGTTGTGGATACAGTGAGATTTGTTCATGACGGTATATAGAAAGTGTGGAGCAGGGAGGCAACATCTTTAGATGTGTGGTGGGAGTAAAGAAGAGTCGAGCAGTAAGAGGGGCAGAGTCAGCTGAGGGACAAGGGAAGCAAAAAAATCTTTTTTCAGATGTAGGAATAAAGCAGAAATGGCATGCCTCAAATAGGGAACTCAAGGCTGCAAGTTTATAGGAAGCCTGGCAGTACCCGGTGTAATCTCAGAGAAGAGGGCCCTAACTGTCCTGCATGACAATTTGGACTCACACAGAGGGAACAGCTTTTCATCAAAATGCTACAGAATGGTGGTTTTGTACCAGGCGCTGGTAGTGGGAGGGAGCTCTGTCGTCCAGGTAGTGACAATGTTAGGACATACCTGGGGGACTAAAAGAGGCAGAAGCCAGTCCAGTATGTTCAGTCTAACGCCCTGTGGGAGATCAGAGGAGAGAACAGTCGGCGTGAACGAGGCTGGTGACTCTGTCCAGAGGGGGGACAGGAAGGGGGCAGAAGATCGTGGAGGTCCTAGAACTTGAGCCGAGCTTTGTTGTGATTTAGCTTATGAAAGAGAAACCAGAAATTTGTCCTCGAGTAATGTTTCCTGTAACTGCCTAGTTTTTTTGTAATTGTTTGGGTGTGAGAGTTGGCTTTGGAAGGAAGGCGGCTACAATAGCGGAAAATCTGGCGTTCTGCGTTTACGCCAGTAAAATTTAATACTCTTTTATCCGGTAGCTGCACGGAATCAGGAAGGGTGAGGCAAGTCCCCCGGTTTCTCGTCAGGTGGTTGGAAACAAAGGTAACCATTCCATAGAGTCTCAGTCAAGTTCCTGAATTGTGAAAGAAAAGTGACCAGTGATCCTGAGAGGTCAAAGGGTGTATCAGCCAGAGTTGGTTTGCTTGAAATAAGAAAGCGAAAGCTCACGGAGGCCCAAGAAGCCCCTTCCCCCCTGTCCGGAAGCTGCCGCTGGGCAGAGTGGAAATCCCTAGACCTCAGCCCACCCAAACGGTTGGAGGAGCAGGGCCGTGAAGAGGCAGAAGCTTCCAGACTTGTCCACGGTGCCCCCGGGGGTAGGAGACCCATGGATAAGTTTCGGACGGTGCTAGACCTGCACCTCAAGCATCACAGCACGCTGGGCTACGGCCTGGTGACCCTCCTGACGGCGGGCGGGGAGCGCCTGTTCTCCACCGTCGTGTTCCAGTGTCCCTGCAGCGCCACCTGGAACCTGCCCTACGGCCTGGTCTTCCTGCTGGTGCCGGCGCTGGCCCTCTTCCTGCTGGGCTATATGCTCAACGCGCGCACCTGGCGCCTGCTGACCGGCTGCTGCGCGCGCGGCGGCCGCACCGGGAGCTGCAGCGCGGGGCTGCGGGAAGCACTGGTGTGCGCGCAGCTCAGCGCCGCCGCCGCGGTCGCGCCGCTCACGTGGGTGTCCGTGGCGCTGCTCGGGGGCGCCTTCTACGAGTGCGCCGCCACCGGGAGCAGCCCCCTGGCGCGGCGCCTGTGCCGGGACCGCGAGCCCACCTGCGAGGCCCAGCTGCCGCTGGCGCCCTGCCACCAGGCCCAGGCGCCCGACGCGCAGGACCTGCTGAAGGAGCTCAAGGCCCAGTCGCAGGTGAGACGCGGGCCGCTGGCCGCCGTCGGGAGCGTGGGGGAGGGGCCGGGGGAGGTGCAAGCGGGATGTGCCCTGGCTCCAGACGCAGGACCCCGGAAGACAAACTAGAATGGCGACTATTTCAGTGACACGAATGAGAAGGAGGGAAGGCGCACGGACAGTTTCAGGCACCTGCTCTGGGCCGGATACCGCGCCAGGCCCTTGACCTCCGATCCCGCACTATCCTCTTGATACACCATGTGCAGATCGAGGTGTTTGTCCAGCCAGAAGAAGGCAGATTTGTTACAATAAAATGGGTTGCCCTGGCTCTAAAGCCACCACCCCACACTGCTTCTGGGCATATAAAGCCCAGAGGTTCTTGAAAATGAATGCTTGTTTCTTTGGATTTGCCGAAATTCCACGTTTTGAATTCTAGCGGAGGGATATACAGGCCCGTCTCTGGGCCCTTGACATGACTTGGAAAATGACTTGTCAAGCAGTTCTACCGAGGGGTTTGGGTGTTTACCGGCACTTCTTTCTCTTAAGAGACTAAGACCTAAAATTGTTGCTTGATCATCATAATCACTGTGAGTAGTTCAAATTCTACGTAAGAAGTTTTAAATTTGGGGGCGCCTGGGTGGCTCAGTCGGTTAAGCGTCGGCTCAGGTCATGATCCCAGGGTCCGGGGATGGAGCCCTGGGCGAAGCTCCCTGCTCAGCGGGGAGTCGGCTTCTCCCTCTCCCTCGGCCCCTAACCCCTGCTCCTGCGTGCGCCCTCTCTCTTGCGTGCGCGCACTCTCTCAAATAAATAAAATCTTTTTTTTTAAAAGGATTTTAATCTTTTTTTTTTTATATAAAAAATGTGACTAAATTGCTGTTTTGTTGTGTTTTCCTAAGGTGCTGGGCTGGATCCTGATAGCAGTTGTCATTATCTTCCTTCTGATTTTTACCTCTATCTCCCGATGCCTATCTCCAGTTAGTTTCCTGCAGTTGAAATTCTGGAAAATCTATTTGGAACAGGAGCAGCAGATCCTTAAAAGTCAGGCCACAGAGCATGCAATGGAATTGGCAAAAGAGAATATTAAATGTTTCTTTGAGTGCGCACATCCAAAGGAATACAACACCCCCACCATTAAAGACTGGCAGCAGATTTCATCACTATATACTTTCAATCCAAAGGAGCAGTACTACAGCATGTTGCACAAATATGTTAACAGGAAAGAGAAGAGTCATAGTATGAGATCTACCGAAGGAGATACAGTGATTCCTGTTCTTGGCTTTGTAGATACACCTGGTATGAACACTACTGCTGAGCTATGACCTTATTAATGAATATGGGGAAAGTTCTTTTGAGTTTTCGCTTCATTAAAAAAACCACAAACTTTGGCGCACCTGGGTGGCTCAGTTGCTTAAGCGACTGCCTTCAGCTCAGGTCATGATCCTGGAGTCCCGGAATCCAGTCCGGCATCTGGCTCCCTGCTCCGTAGGGAGTCTGCTTCTCCTTCTGACCCTCCCCCTTCTCATGTGCGCGCTCTCTCTCTCTCTCTCTCAAATAAATAAATAAATAAAATCTTAAAAAAAAAAACCCACAAACTTTGGTATTGTTTATGACTGCTCTTTTTTTGATTTTTCAAATTGTGGAAACAATTTTAAATCAAATGAAAAATTAGAACTTTACCTATTTATTATATTAATTATAAAAAAGGAAGCCAAGTCTAGTGATTCACTCAAAGTGACAAACTGGAACTAGGTCAGAAGTTTTATATCCCTAGTCTACGGTCCTTTTCACTGAATAATAATGCTGTCAAATGAAAGACTTCAGTAGCAAAAACTGAAAGAACAAATGAACTTCTGACCTTTCTTTTAGGTTATCTGATGTTAATTTCAAATTCACTGTCTTGCAGATTACACCTTGTTTGGAACATTAAAATACTGGCATTTTATGGCTTTAATGTGGTCGGTAACAAAAACCCAAAAAATTATCACAAAAAAGGAAAGTAAAATTAAAAAAATACAAGATATGAAAAACTAGGATAATTGCAAGCAAAACTGTTGGTTTTCGCTTGCAGGGTTGGAGGGAAAATTTTAAAGCTTTTTATCATGGGAAATTTCAAATATGCCCAAAAGTAGAGAGGACAGTGTTATGAACCCCTTTAGAGTATTACACAGCTTCGGCCGAGTACGGGAGTCCGATAAAACCCATACCATACAAATAAATATAGAAATACAGATCGTTACCTCGTTTAGAGTATGGGAAGGGACTGAAGAAATCTGTGAGAAACTGCAACCCGAAAAATAGCAGAGCATTTCTGTTTGTACAACAGCATGGAAAGGACTGAGGTGAGAAAGATCTTAGCACAGTTGGAAGCCATAAAGGTGACCGGAAGAGACGAAGCAAGGGCCCGGTCATGCAGCTCCTTGAAGTCATGCAAAGGAGTTTGGTTTTCATGCCATGAGCAATTTAGGAAGATTGTTCTGATATTCTTGTGGAAAAAGCCATGGCGGGGAAGAGGGAGAGCCAACATGGAAATGGAGAGACTGATCAGGGCGCCCCTGCAGTGAAAAGAGGTAGGACTGAACTTGAACTGGGTTGATGGTGATGAAAAAAATGGAGAGGTTCAAGGTGGATTTTGATCACAGACATGAAAGGCTTTGTTGATGGAGAAGATGCAAAGATTTATTGAGAGTAATAGCGTCTGTAGACAAAATTCTGTTGCTTGACAATACCAGGAGACATTAGATTGTCATTTGTGCACATCTCCCAAATTTATGGCTGCTTTGTGTATTTTTAAAAATAAGGCATGAAAATTGTAAACTGTAAAAGAATTGAGCAGTGGTTCTATTTAGCCCTTCTTCCTCTCTCGACAGATCTCTGTGTTGGCCTCTATTTGCCCTTTGTTGCGCAGGATCATTTAAAAGAACTAACCAGTCAGCAGAACTGAATATCCTGTTGCAGAGTCATATAGTACAAGAAAGTTGACGGCAGAAACTGCATGATCAGTTTCTTTCTATTCCCTAATGAATAATTTTGAAAATCGTAGCATGCTTACTTTTATTTTGCTTCCTTTATTTCATTTTCCCATTTCTTTTGTATATTCTTCTCTTTCAGTATCCACCCCCCACCCCCGCCCGTCCATCCCTGGTCTGCCATTTGTCCTTCCATCTTCAATAGTATAGTCTCCATTTTGTCGACTTATGCTCCACTTTCTCTTGCACAGTATTAATTATTGTTAAAGTATATATGGTTAAGAGAAAAAATGTAGAAAGCTGTGTGAAGTAAAAAGTATCTCACTCCTTTGCAATATATTTTTACCAGAGGAAGTCATGTACTCTGTGTCTACACAAATATTATCGTACTCTAAATGTGGTTCTGCAACTTTTTCACATAAAATATCATTGTTCCATGTCCATATGTAACAATTCCCCTCATAATTTAATTATGCACAGTATTCTGATTAGTGGGATATGATCCCTTTTTTGTTAAAAAATACACATGCAAATATACACATGCATTCATAATAAGTATATACATAAAGTATCTATAAATTTGTCAATTTTGGTCAATTTTCAAGACTAAGGGAGAGGCATAGGAATGAGGCAGAGGAATTTTTCTTTAAACTTCATGTGTTTTTGATTTTTCGATTTTTTTTGGTAATGAATGATAAATGTTACCTGTATAATTAGAAAAGATTAAAAAGAACCCTTACAAACATGTAGGGCTTTTCAGTCAACAGGAAGTTTTATATGTCTCACTTCATTTCGTTTTCACAAGTCTGTGGGATACCCAAGAAGCCCATCACTCACACTTCCAAGTGAGGAATTGAAGGTTAGAGTGGTTACATTACCAGTCCAAGGTCACACAGTCAGTGGAAGGTGGAACTAAAGCCAGGGGACTGAGTCTATCTGGATCACGTGGTTCAAAGTGGCCACTTGGTGTTTTTATTAGTGGGCCAGGTTTTTCCCTTTTAAGCCCACCTGCCCTCACAGGCAGAAAAGATGCAAATGTTCTTAGTGACTCTTAGTATTTTTCATCTCATTCAGGAACTTGTCAACTGTTGATAGCTGAGACCACTCTGAATAAACATAGTGATATCAGGACACAGCAGTTAGTTCATGGTGGGAACATGGTCACCACTGTTTGGTAGGACACACTACTCCTAGGAGCCTGGCCCCAGATGGACACATCATGGGCTCACAAGCATTTCTACACTTGGTGTATACAGTGGATCCTTGAACAATTGGGGCTTAGAAGGGCTGACCCCCACACAGTCGAAAATTCATGTATAACTTTTGACTCCCCCCAAACCTAACTACTAATAACCTATTGTTGACTGGAAGCATTAATGATAACATAAACAGTCGGTTAACATGTATTTTGTATGTTCTATGTATTATTTACTGTAGTCTTACAATAAAATAATCTAGAGTAAAGAATGTTGAGAAAATCCTAAGGAAGAAAAAATATATTTACAGTATTGTACTGTATTGAAAAAATCTGCACATAAGTGGACCTGTGCAATTCACATCTATGTTGTTCCAGGGCCAACTGTATTTATTTGCTAGCTCACCAAATGATTCTTTATAATCACCCTGGCTTCATGCCACCCTAAAGGCTTAACTTTAGAAGAGATTCAGACACGGGACCTGCTAATAATATCTGCTTTGAAACAACCATATTGTTCTAAGAGATGATTTTGCACTGTGATGAGTTCGGCAAGATGATAAAATTTACAGAGCATAATAAGAGGAGGCATGGTCTCTTTGCTCCTTTCAAAGCCATGTGTACATATATCAATGTTCTACAGATTGATTAAAGAAGCAAGTCCTGGGGGAGCATCCGCAAATAGACTTAGCCCCCTACACAAATGTCTCTGGCTGGAAAACATCTCGAAACCCCTAAATTTCACAACACCTTATCTACCAGGTAGCCTATTGTAAAGAACTCTTCCTAAGACGAAAGATGGAGGAACGCTCCCTGTCTGAGTCAGCCCCAGCCGCGGCCGCCACCAGTCTGTTTCGTCAGTGGCAAACTCCCACTGAGTGCCTATCGTGTCAAACACTGGGTCTGCCCTGCAAGCTAAGCCTTCAGTTGATCTTTTGTCTCTACCTCTTCATTGCCTCCTTATGAAATCTCTCTTGTGAATTGCAATGTAAGGACTGTGGAACTGATTATATGACATTCTTAGCTAAGGCAAGAAAACTGAATCAAAAAAGGGATACGGTCTGTCAAGATCCTTTCCCACAAGGAACAAAACATTAAAAACTTCCAAATGAAAGAAATTTCTATAAGATTCAGCAATTTATTGTCATTTAAAAAATTGTGGGATATCCAACACAGCGAAGAGTGTATGAAACATTTGTGTACGTTTTACAGAATAATTATGCAGTGAACATCTATGTAACCACTGCAGAGGGGAAAGAAAGAATACATCTCCAGCGCCCCAGAAAATGCCTGCTCCAAGTGTCGCTCTACAGTCTTAACTCTCTCTGCCCAAAAGTGGTGTGTGTGGTGGGGGCCAGGGGGGTTGTGATCATTTCCTTACTTTTATTTATAGTTTTACCACCTATGTGTGCATTCTTAAATTATTAATGGTTAGTTTTGTCTGTTTTTGAACTTTATATGAATGAAAACATTCTCTAATCAATTCTCTAAGAATTGTTTTTTATCATTTTTGTTTGCTTGTTTTTATTTGATGGATTCATCCCCAGTATGTCTAGAACAACTTATTTATTTTGATTGCTGGATAGTATTCTACTACATGAATATACCACAATCCAGGTGTCCATTTAACTACTGATGGACATTCGGTTTGTTCCCAGTTTCTGGCTCTTAGAAGCAATGCTGGAGTGAACCTTCATGTATTTGAATTCTAGTAGACACGTGCAAGTGTTGCTTCAGGATGTGTTCTTGGAATAGATGGAAGCATGAAGACATAGATATATTCCAGCTTGCTAGATAATATCAAATGTTTGCCATAAGGGGTGTACCAATCTATGCTATGAGAGTTCCTTCTGTTTCTCACCTCTGCAACACTTGGTATTTCCAATTATTTACTGTTTGTCACTCTAGTGAGTATGTAATGGTCTTTCTCATTGTGTGTGTGCTTTAAGATGTTAAAAATTTATTTATTAGAGAGAGCGAGAGAAAGAGCAATCAAGAGCAGGGCTAGGAGAAGGAAGGGAGAGAGAGGGAGGGGTAAAGAATCCCAAGCAGACTCTGCACTGAGCTCAGATCCCGATGGGGGTGGTGGGGGAGTTTGATCTCACAACCCTGACATCATGACCTGACCTGAAACCAAGAGTCGGAAGCTTAAGTGAGTGAGCCACTCAGGTGCCCCTCTCATTGTGTTTTTAATTGGCATCTTCCTAACCATTAAAGCTTTATGGCATCTTTTCAAACTA